GTCGGGACTTGTCAAATAATTATGTCAGTTTCGAGGGGGTACCGGTTTGTAGAGATTGTGGTTTGGAGAGGTTGTAGCACATTCAACCTCATTAGTTGCGTTTTTCTGCAAAATGATGTTTTATGTAATCAGCTGTTACAATATTTCAATTGTTGATAATGATTTCCATGTGACCAATACTTGATTGACATCTAGTTAATTAGTATAAAACATCAGTCTAGCGGCAGTTTTATGCACATAATTAGAAGAATGTCTTTTAATGTTTATCCAACCGCAATCCCCGAGCTCCATCTCGCTCCATTTTTTTCTGTTTTATAGTATTGGCACTCTAAAAGTCGATTGAAACTGTCATCTATAATCCATTGTTTGTTATAGAACTTACTGATCAATACTGGGTTGAAAGATGCCAGAAGCTCTTCCAGTATATAAAATGTTTTTAAATTGTGTGTTGTCATTCTCATTGATACACATGATACAGGTAGGCATGTTTTATTATTCTGACTACATTTTGTTGGTGTCGGCACGAGACATAAGGCTTTGTCTTCTTCACCTTCATTTTCTTTCTCTGGTTGCAAAAGAAAGTTCTAATTCGTAAATTTCCATGATGGGGAAATACATCTGGTACGTCCATGCTTAACAGTTTGTGTACTTCAAAGAGGTATAAAAATGTATTTCATCAACTAGGACATTGTCAAACTAAGTGATTTTTATTTAATTAAAGTTGAGCGGAAGGATGGCTATGTCTGGTTATATTTCATACAGCTATACTTTCTTGTGGATTTATTGATGACCTAACCATATCATCGATGGTTTGATCTACTTACGTTAGGGTTAACCCTTTTCTTTCTATTACCTCTTACAGGATCCTTGATCAATTAACCCCATGTTGAAAACCTTTGACTTACGTGTTGAAATAAATTGTACCATATGATTGCATACAATTCGCATGCTGCCAGATTTAAGTAATTTGGACTTTATAGAAGGGCACAATAATAGGTTTGCTAAAGCCTTCAGCATGAATTAAACTTATAGAGAACAATATAAGCCGTATCGCATCGCAGTTTGCGATACAATTTTCGGCAAAATGCGATGTAATTTTCGCCAGTAGAGCAGTTTTGTTTTTGCGATACATAATATTTTCTAATAATAAATGAAAATGAACTCATTATAAAATTTGGTGTCTGAAACAATGAGAATCCGGTAATTTGTCGCACCTTTAAGTAAATTTCTCGAGGACTGAAAGTCGGCACAGAATCAAAGGAGACATGATTGTTATATAGTATCGTTGTCATATATTTTGCTAAATAAGGAATATTATACTGAAGTGGATAGCAGACGACATTTCGGGGAGATAGAATAGAGCAGCATGGATATGGAAAAAAATAATGCTTAATCATTTAACAATCGAAATACATCACCCCTATCTAACAAAATAATAAAAACTTTTAAATATCCATTTCCGTAAGAAACACCGCAAACCGCAATAGGTTTCTATTTAACAATTGTTAAAAGTTGTTATTATGTTGTTACAAATAGGTGTTGTATTTCGATTGTAACTATTATTTGTAACAAAATAATAACTTTTAAATATCCATTTCCGTAAGAAACACCGCAAACCCGAGGTTTAAAGATTATCGGTTGGTTTGGACTTTTCTCAATCGAGAATCATACGCGCGCCACCTTGAAAATTTAGAGTTAATGTCACGGGAATAAACATGACAAATGCAAGTATTTCATCACTTCGAAAATAACATTGAAGATATCAGGAGTCAGAAAAGCCATTATTGAAGAAATATTATAAAAAGTAAACATGTAGGCCTGGGTGTGCATTATTTGCGATGACAGATTTTTTTTAGATTAACCCAAGTGTCAAGCGGAATGCGCAAATACATTTGGGGTTTACGGTCTAATTCTTTTGTATTTTCTATTTTCCACTGTTATCAAAATTGATAAAATCAAGAATCATTTAAAAAAAATTTAAAATAAAGTGCTATACAATTTCAACTATCATAGAAGAAATTGCTCCACAAAAGTTAAAAATGCTACGCAATTTCGGTCCAAAGAGCAAAAAACTGCTATGCAAATAAAAAAAAGTAATTTGTACCCTGAACTTACATATTCAACTAAAATAAAAAGTCGATTAAACGTTTAAATCAGCTTTTACGAGTATAAAACATTTTTTTTTCAGGACGAATAATTCTAATAGTGCTAAATAGTTGATGACATCACGAAATCTGAAGTAGTTCAAAATACCGTGAAACTAATAGTCTATCAATTTATATTGAGTTTTTAAACAAAATGTTTTCCCACTAATCGTTGTAATAAATATAAAAATAGACAATATCAATGTAGAAATGACCAGAAGCTTGGTAGTTAAACGATGATAATATGTTCTTTGTGAGTTTTCTATATGATATAAGTCGTAGTAGGTCTTTCAGCAAGAGACTGGATTCCTGTCTACTTTCAAGCCTTGTAGTTACGGACATCTATTCCCTTTCTTTCAAATACAAAGTAATTAAAGTGACTGTCGAGTGGTTTCAGAATCTAGATAATATAATTATATATACCATTGCCACGTCGTGGATATCTCGGACTTTAGTAAGAAGAAAGACTCGAGTATCGATACGCAGATACGCCAGATCTAGATAACCCCTCACATTCGGAAAGGTGTAAGTTATCAACAAAGTACAAACCTAGTCGGACCCCACAGATCTGTAACTGTAGAAAAACTGTCCCGGTGTAGACTATTAACACAATACAGAGTTAGATCGGCCCCCCAAATTGGTAACTTTAGCAAAATTGTGCCGGTGTACACGAATAATAGAAATGAAATGAAATGAATGGAGTTGTATATACGTCCTACTTCACGAATAATAGAATACAGAGCTAGATCGGCCCTTCAGATATTTGATTTTCGCAACCTTGTCCAGGTGTACACGAAGAATAAAATACAAGATTGTTCTAGACAATTCATGGAATGAAATAATCATTTATAGCATTTTCAGGAGAAGCAGGTAAAACTGACATTTCTCCATAAATTTTCAATTCAATGAAAATAATTAATGCCACTTAAAACATGACATGACATTGACATGATGTGTTACAGATTTGTCATATTTCTCAATAATTTGTGACTTTATGATAGAGATTTTCAATTTTGACATAAAACCTTATATGTATAGTCATGAAAATACAATTTACTAAAATATTTCTTTGTCAAACCGAACAATTATTTCAATTAAGAAATGAAGCATTTAAACGAATCCATATACTATTTGGTTACTGTCTGACTTCTCTTTAAGAAAATACACCCGTTGTGATATCTAAAAATATATCTATTTATATTTTGAACATAATAAATAAATAATACTGGATTTAATCCTAGAATTGAATTGAAATAGGGAAGTAATTTAACAAATAATTATCAATCTAAGTGCTAGTTCAAAGAAACATGGTTGCTTTATATTTTTAACAACGATGTTTTTTTCTACAGGAACTATTAGAAAAAGAAAGCGGTCAACTGGTCACATATTGGTTTGCACTTTTTAAAGTTTTTCTAAAATCAATGCCACTGCTTATTTCTATTATAGGTTCATTGTTTTAATGTACCTTACAGAGAATTGTTATCCAAAAAGGGTTTTAATTGTTCATCTTATTCTCTATAGAGTCACTGAAAGATAAAGTGTTTTGATCGGTCGCGCACTTAAGCAATACAATCACCTTTTTGTTATACAAATGTGTTTTACCAAAGAGTTTATCCTTAAGCAGAGAATGTTGAGTTGGTTGATTTTGTCAGTGAAGGATAGTGATTATTGATACATGACTTTAGTAAGTTGGTACATGTAGTTCATTCTAGGTGTATAAGGAGGCACAATGCGCAAAATGGATTTTATTACAAATACAGTAGGCCCATTAAAAATCTGTTTCTTGCAATTTGGCTTTAGTTGTTTCTCATAATGTTGACCTATAATGTAGTAGTGCTTGTACGGATTTTTATTAAAGACAGACGGACTGAAATATAACGTCCTAGATTTCAGCTCCGTTTCGAATTGAGGAAGACAAGCAAGATCATACAGTGTGAAAATGATTTTGCATGGAGATCAGCGTTAGTCAACAATGTTTTCGATTTAGACCGTCAAGAAATCATTTTAAACTTACACTACCTGTAGCATACAGTCTGATTGTGAGCAATTTCACATAAGACATGTAGAAATTAATTACTTATTTTCCAGAAATGCCAATGTATACAAGACGAGTTACACCACAAATTGGCAATGGATCCCAGGGCAGACGTGATTCTTTGTCAAGCCAAAAGTCATCCCAGCAGGTCCAAACCGGGAAACTACAGTCCATCAGAGATCTGTATAAAAGATCAGTGGCATGTTGTAGACGTCATGGTGTTAAAACTACTGGTAAGTAATATTGATAAGTAATATCACTAATTTTCTCATAATAAGATTATACTATAAAACGTCTGCATTGAGATCAGTTAGATTCTGGTCTGTTTTACACCGACTTTGATAACGTTAACATTTTTGATTCAAAGGAACCGAAGAATAATGGCCTTAATCCAGCCCTTTCCTATTTCAGGAGAGAAAGTTCAGATGGCTAAGATGTTATTTTTGACCTGTATACCTATTCTAGCTCTATGTATCCTCTGTTTACTTGATGTCAGATCAATGACGTTGAAAACTATTGAAGGTCAAGAGACTCGGGACGTGGTCGTTCTTAGTATCGAGATTGGGAAAGTGTTACATTATCTCCAACGTGAAAGAGGATATTCTTCATTATTTGAAGCCGCTGTAGGGGGGCAGACTAAAATTCTTATTAAAGCAATGCTCGTAGACAGTCACAAAGCCACCTCCGATGTGCTAAACAAACTTAACAAATGGCCAGGTGAAACAAATACTCGTTTTGAAAAATTTCCTACAAAAGCACATCTGGTAAATCAGATAGCTGAACACAGAAAAGGAGTTTTAGACGGAACGGCTGACACAGGAATGCGCCGCGAGTTAAACTTTTACAATGAAATCGTGGTTGCTTTCATTGAATGGCTGTATAAAGCAATCCAATTTTCCCAAAAAGGAGACGATTGGAAGTTGCTTGTGTCCTATCAGTTGTTGATCATCAGTAAAAATTATAATGGAATTGAACGAACTTTGGGAAGTATTTTTTACATGAAAGGTTATTTCGAACATTTTGAAGACTATCAGTGGTATCTAAAGGCTAAGAGTCTGGGAATCGGTAATTATGAATCAGCGACGCTATTTTCCAGTGATGTTCAAACCCTGATGCTCCAGGCTACTGATAAAGATTACGGGAATATATCTTTGAAAATCCAAGAAATGCGAACAGAAATTACACAGAACAACCAAACCATTCAGACAGGGTCGTTAAAAACCAGTTTTTATTGGTTTCAGACAATGAGTTTATACTTAGACATGGTGTTCGAGGTTCAAAACGGTTTGGCTGAAATCATTATTCAATCGGTTGGCGACAATTTAGCTGATGATACTCAAAGTATTGCAATTAGTGGTTTCATATTGTGTATTGTTCTCATTATTTGCCCTTTGATTATCATCAGCGTAAGGGCACTTGTTTCTAATATTCAGAAATATGCTCTCAGTTTGGCGGATCAAACAGCACAGCTTAGCAAGGAAAGAATGAGGACCGAGTCGTTACTATATCAGATGCTTCCCAAACCTGTGGCAGAACAATTAAAACATGGTCAATGTGTAGATGCGGAGTCTTATGAAGAAGTTACAATATTTTTCTCTGACATTGTTGGATTTACAAGTATTTCGGCAGCGGGAAGTCCTATGGAAGTTGTGAGCCTACTCAATGAACTCTATATGTGTTTTGATTCGAGAATCGAGCTATATGATGTGTACAAGGTTGAAACAATTGGTGATGCTTATATGGTAGCTTCTGGTAGGTACTGTTCGTTATTATATGTATTTAAAATGTATGGTATGTTTCGTGATAGTCTTGTGAGTATCTGTCATGAAAATGATACACTAAACGTTATGAATGTTCAGTCAGTAGCATTTTATTATTGTCAGTTGATTTGGTTGTATATCATGATTTTACCATTGTGGTAGTGGCGACTATGCTTTCTCTTTTCGAAACACCTGATGGAACTTGTCTTTATAGGAGTCTACTACTGCACATCTTTTACTCTCGACTTTGCCATACTTTGGACGAGATTTTGATAAATGGAATTGTCTTGATTGTTTGGATTCTTTTTCTTAATGCTTTTAGGGAGCTGATTAAATGGGGGTGGGGGCCTCCCATGAAGTGTCTAAGAGAGTTCCAAAAAGAATTTTTGAAAAATATGATAAGATTCGATGCATTCTGACACAAATTTCAGTAAGCAAAAGCGTATAAAAATAGAACTTTTTAATTTGTTAGAATGAAAGTGGTGTACAATTTGTTGGTACAGACCATTTTGTATATAAATAATAATAATGTTGCATTTCAACCACAAAATGATTGTTTTTTTAGTTGTTTTTTAATGAAAATATTAGAGGAGAGGTAAGGCATAGACACTTAAAACAATAACTATTAATCTACTTTTAGAATATCGGTTTCTATCAATTTAATATTATGTTAAAAGACGGCTGTAAAGGCCTATTTTAGTTTGATTATTGGTTGTCAGCTATGGCCTTGATGGTTTTTAAGTGGTTGCTACTAGTTTATTATTCAATAATTAGGACATGCCATCAATATGTTAACTTAATATATTAATTATCAATATTGAACGCCATCACTGACAGGTATAAGATGGTCAATTTATTGACAAAATACTAATTTATTGAAGAGTAAAAACTATCATTAAAATGATCTCATTTATGGGTGGGTATAAATCGGCCAATCGGAAGTTGGCATTCCTAATATTATTGGTTATTAAATGTCATAAAACGGAACACAGCTGAATTCGGGAATATGTCTCCAAATTCAATAGTTTCGTTCTGTTTTATGACATTTAAAACAACATTTTGCAAAGTCTCTGACACTCCTGTCTTCGACGAGGATATAGGCCTATTCAGAGACTCTCAATATTGTGCTGCGTGTTATGACGCTGTCAACCTCACTCTCAAGGGGGATAGCCTAACTACTGATAAGCGTATCTACGTGTCTCAAATGACCTGTTTACAACATTAACAAAATGTCATGCAATCCCTATAAGTTCTTTTCGTTTATATCTGATATTTTTTCATCTTTTGTTAATTTATCGCTTGTTCGAGCTTGGAAATATATCCCATTACTGAAATATTAATACACAGGGAAGCTCAGTTTTTAACTAATGTGGTTACCGCACAAAACGGATGTGGATTTACAACCAATCAGATTCAAGAGCTTGTGTAGACTCGATCAATTAAAAGTGACCGGGTTAATGTTCCAGATCCTATTTCGGTCAACAAATTCATGCAAGTGTATAAGGGACACAGTAAGTTTTGTGAAAGGTCTTATCATGGATATCTGTACCCAACGTTGCCCCGATATCCATGAGGAACAAACGTATAATTGACCTTTGATGGAATGTACAGAACACTCAAGAAAAGGTTTTAATTTTTTATTATCACTATTAAAATTGATTATATAAAGTTATTTCGATATTTATTAGCCAGAAAATTACAACTATTATTCTGTTTAGGTTTTTATTTTAGTTATCATAATTGATTGTCTTTAACAATAATATCAAGGATCAATATTATAGGTCAATCAGTCCTCAGTTAAACAGTCAATCAGTTAATTTGACATCTAAATTTACTGAAGAAAAAATAAAGATGTTAAAAATGTCTTGACTAGACTTGTGCAAGGTATTATGTTGTGATGGACAACACATAGTCAATAAACGCAACGTTACAGGATCACGATAACTTCTCTAATAACTGCTATCAGCACCAAGTCTTTTAAACCTACGGCACCACAGCTACTCCCCAAATCATATAACAGAGTAAAGAATATAGAAACCAGGGGCCTGGTACCCACTAGACTACATGGATGATGAACAAATAGTATGTAGATATAAACTTTCACGCCCAATGATACTAGATTTATGCAGAATGTTCCAAACAGCTCTAGCAAGGCCAACAGCAAGATCTCGAGCATTTCCAGTTTCATTCCAAATCATGGTTGCACTCAGGTTTTATGCCACTGGAAGCTTTTAGATGGTCAATGCTGATGTCCATAACATCTCTAGACCAAGTGTATCTAAAATAACTGGACTTCGCAACATCATGAGAGGTTTTCATGAAAAAACAGACTTTCCAAGTGTAGTCGGTGCCATTGATGGTAAACACATACGTATAAAAAGCTCCAACAGAGGATGATCATCTTTATGTAAATAGAAAAAGCTACCATTAATGTTCAAGCAGTTTGCGATTCAAATATGAAGTTTTCTTTTTAGCACTATTTGTTACTACATTGCTGTGTCGGCTGAAAAGTAAGGACATATTCTTCTCCACTTCGTCTATCAAAATTTGAATCTCCTGCGATGTAAAATTCGGACTGCTTCTCTTACTCATTATTATGTATAATAAATATAAATGTATTATTTCTATCCTTATATAGTACTTTCTCAAAGTATTTGCACGAGCATTTCGTTAAGCGGTTACATGTACTCGATGTCTCACATCTTAAAAGTATTCACAATTAGATAACAAACACATCATGTAAGATAATAAATAAACACAGAGTTCGAGAATGTAAAAATAAATATACAAACTAAATTCAAACAAATGATCAAACTACGATTTTAATTCATTTAATAAATATACAAACTAAATTCAAACAAATGATCAAACTACGATTTTAATTCATTTTCATATAAAATTTAATATTGATAATGTATTTTGTAAGTAATAACTATAAATTTATTTCCTATAATTCTTTTAATAAATATACAAACTAAATTCAAACAAATGATCAAACTACGATTTTAATTCATTTTCATATAAAATTTAATATTGATAATGTATTTTGTAAGTAATAACTATAAATTTATTTCCTATAATTCTTTTAATAAATATACAAACTAAATTCAAACAAATGATCAAACTACGATTTTAATTCATTTTCATATAAAATTTAATATTGATAATGTATTTTGTAAGTAATAACTATAAATTTATTTCCTATAATTCTTTTTATAGTAAATGTTATCACTTATGACAGTCATACGAGCATCTCAGATATGACTATCGTAAGACAGGTTTGATTTACATTCTATTACATGTCGTATGATAGTCATAAGATAGTCTTAAAATTTGTCTTAAGATATATCTTATGACGTTTCTTACGATATTTTCGAAAACCAGGCCCCAGAACAATTTCTTACTTTCAAGGGACATAATCATGAATAGAAAAAGGACTTGTTTCAGTAAATTAATGTAAATGCAGGAGAGAATTCTACACAATGTGTTTGTTAACATTCTTCAAATGTATAATTTAACCTACTCTTCGTGTGATCTGACAAAAGACCTACTTAAATTTATTTTCCAAATCCTCCTTTCATTGAACAACCTGTCTATCCCACTTCTCTTAAACTCTGATTACTGTTCTTTACCTTCCATGCGACTCCTTTCTATTTTATTCGTTCTCCTTCTTTCACTCCATTCTCTTTACCTCTCAATGCTCTTCTATCTAATTACCTGCTGCATCACTGTTTGAATCTTATTGGTGAAGGAGAGAACCTTTTTTTGAACACCCACTGTTTATTTCAATGGTATGCCACAGACATGCATCAATGTAGCATTGACTTAATGAATAAATAAATTACTTTGACAGATAAATTTGATAATAATTGAGTGTTATATAAACATACTGGCATTATTATTAACGGCGTGTCACATGTAGAAAATAGGCAATTAGTTGTCGTTTATTGTGGCAATGACTGCTTTGTTATAATTTTTGCTGAATTGACTAACAATCGACTTTCAATTGACATTATTGGTTCTTATGCAATTAGTTAATCATCAGATCTAAACAATAGCTTTGTCATAATTCTGGAAGTTACAAGATCGATCATACCTATCGACTTTTGTAGGAACAAGAGTTAGTTAGGTACATGACCTTTAAGTTTCTCCAATCCGGTTTTCGTGTTCCAGTGACACAGGTCATCTTCACATCAGGTCTAACCTGTCTTTCTTGATACATTGGCGCCATCTTACCTGCTTCTGTTCATGTGATTAGACTATTTTTTCACTCCAAACAATTTGCAATGATATTCTTCAACCATTTTGACAGGAATCGAAACAAACAGGTTGTCGAATAGTTTTCTTTATGGTTGACACGAATAATTTTGAACACTACAATCATACTGGAAAGAAATATGAAGTGGTAACTTTTCTATAGTTGCTCCACAGTTACTTCAGAACATTTGGTTGTTTAGAGTTTGCCCTTATATTTTAAGAAATAAAACTCTATTTTTCAGGTGTTCCAAATAAAAATGACCGTCGCCATGTAACAGAAATAGCAACAATGGCCTTAGATTTAGCTCATCATGTCACACATATAGAGATACCACATCTACCTGATACTTTACTGCGGTTACGAGCAGGAATACATACAGGTAGAATTGGCATGGGTTTTTTTTACCTGTAGTCAATCACTGGTTCTATTGTGACGTTACTTTATGTGACTTGTAATCTATAAATAGTAGAGAGCACATCACAAAGATGTCCTAACTATGCAACATTGTTTTCCAGATGATTATCATGTTATTGGCCCCTGAATTGGAGTATTGATAGAAATTATCTTAACTATTCGTGATTTTTCTAGACTGGTTTCCGGGAAGAATATTATCCGAAATTTCAGTCAATAATAAAAAAATATTGTTGTATTTCAGGTCCTGTTGTAGCAGGTGTAGTTGGAAGTAAAATGCCAAGATATTGTTTATTTGGTGATTCTGTCAATACAGCGTCTAGAATGGAATCCACAGGGAGTGGTAAGAGTTTTTTTTCTTTTCCAAATTTACATGTACATACTTAGTAATATTGATAGAAATCCCTCTCCTGTGGTAATGGCACAGAACGATGATTGTTCTCAGATGTTCACAATGCATGTCGCCCATAACAAGGTTGAATTTGACAGGTCACGGAATATTCGATTTCTGTCTCTGTTATAATCTAATTCTTTGAAAGACGTCCTTTTGACAGACAGAATCTTGGCCTGTTTCACAAAAGCTTAACCAAGATAAAATCAAATTTAAGGAATGCACCAATCTGATTAAAGAGAGACTTTAAATAGTGATATCATTAAACTTGTATTTTCAACTATGCTGGAAATCGGTGGTCTTTGAGTGGTCTAATTCTGGATAATGTTGTATTTCTTGCATTTGCATCACTTCAGCTGATCTCATTGGTAGAAGACAACTTTCGTGAGCGCTTAGCTCATGTTGATAACGACTGGTTCAATGAGAGGCTGAGTCACGAGGAAAGTGTTTTTCTTCTCAGCATCTACCACAGCGCGTCTTTCTGATAAATCTAATAACATACATAATTTAAACATAAACAAATGCCTGGTTTTAAAATCAATGAATTTTGCTCAAAGGGAATACAATCCCTTGAGACGGTAGAAAGTTTTAAAAAATCTTGTATTTCAGCCGATAAAATTCAAATCAGTTGGATTACGGAAGCCAGATTACAACCATATGCAAATTTTACTACTGTCAAACGAGGCAATATCGAAATTAAGGTATTTATTTTATAATAGTGATATTAGCTAATTTTATGTAATATATCAGGTGGCCCAGAAAAACCGATAACACTTTTCATTTCATCACAAACAAAAAAACAACAAAAAACAAACACGCCTTTTCCTTGAAAAGTTTCATACACATGATGATTGGCAACCCCAAAACTTACAAGTGAATGGTTTACGGTGTGTTTTCTCTAGCTGACAAAATTAACAATGGAGATAATCTGAAGGAACTGAAGGACAGAATTAGAGAGAAATGAAACCGGACATGCACTGGACAAAAGAAATTCAGGTGATTTTTGCTGAAAATGGGAGCTTCAAAATAGGAGGAATAATTTCAGTATTTTAAACTTTGGCATTATATTTTTTGACAAAAGATTTTTTAAATGCTGCAATTCCAAAGTGGTTCAACCTTTAAAGCTGAAATTTAGTGAAAAGATGTCTAATATCTCTAAAACTATGGGGTCAAAATATTATGATCATAGCTTTGATATTTTACGAGAATTCAAAGTGTTTTCGTTTTCTGCGCCAACCGATATACCGTATGTTGCAATTACATCGCCATTTTTTTTTATATTATCAGTATTATGAATTTATGGCTAGACATCGAGTGTGACGTTCAGGATTAAACTGTCGTCCAAATGCTTTACAGGCTTCCAATTTAAAATGAGAAATTGTATTTTTACGATAGTTTTGATCTTGTGAATCTCTGTTAGTCTTACAAATTTCTTCGATATATTTTCAGGGAAAGGGCAATATGGAGACATATTGGTTACTAAGTAAACTTGGTTTCGAAGAATCATTAAAATGTATGCCAAACTGTTCCCATTTACAACAAGCATCCGTTCGCCGTAGTGTTTGTTACTGAATTGAACAGTAATTCATAATCTATTCTTCAGAATATGTAATACGCCCCTGGGACTTTCATTTAACTAGAGATGATGACAGTGTCTGAAGAAATCAGTGCGTTACCAACGGTAATTGCCAGAAGGCAATACCGGGCCTTTTCATAGAAAAATCTTCTTCTTCTCTCAATGCCCCAACCCACACATACAGAAATATTCAGGTGTAGGTAGGTGTATTTCGCCCGCCATTAAAACCCTGCAATATCTATGGTGTAGTGGTGAGTCAATCTGAAGAATGTATTTGAGGTCTTTATTACGGTTTTAGAAAGCATGACATTATTATCGTTGCTGTAGTCAACTAAGGTAGTCGTTATGTAAACATAGACTGATGAAATTTCCAGAAGACGGTGTACTGTTTTAATCTACTAATTATCAACAATAATGAATTCTGCAGATAATTAAGCCTCTTTGGGGTCATTTATCTGACATACGTGGAAGTAAACTTGACAAGATTATCAATTTACTGCTATTTAAGCCACACCCAGACGCTGGAAATGTCTTCTGATCATGACACATGGGGATTATGATGTTATGTTATATTAACGCCATGGTCCCGTTGATAATCACGGTGATAACCTTCTCTCTGTTGTGCCTACTTTAATTTGTTTGTGTTAACATGGTGATAAGAAATACACTGAATACTGTAACCAACCTCCATGACTGTAACCAAGTGCTGTATATGTTTTCTAGAGAGAAATTCTGTCTTACTTTCCGTCCTTTAAGAGCAATAAAATATTTTTTTCTTGAATCAACTCGTAAATTATGTCACTATTATTCCCATTATCACGGAAATATGAGGGTTGACTGAAAATTGTCTTTGTGCGTGAGCTGGTGATGGCTCATCGATGATATCGACATATAGCCAGTGTTCTAGGCATCTCTCATGAGAGTTAAGCCCTTAACCAGCCCTCATGTGAAGAATGTCCGAAGTATTTTTAATTGGCCGACTATAAGTTTTTTCCACAGTATTATTAGAACTTCCAATACAATGTAGGTAAAAACGTTCCAATTATTTTGTACCAACAAACGCTAAAATCTTATTACAAATATCAAATTTGTATATTCAATTTGTCGTTAGCTGTTATTATCTACGAGTCACAAGCTTCTAAACTTATCAAAGTTTAACCTTATTGTCCTAGTAGATAAGATATCCCAGTGACGAAGGAAATATGTAAATTTAAGAGTTTCAGACGTTATTTATTAAACCGTCGTTGATATCTGAAAAATTTGACAGTGCAATAAGTATCTGTACCAACCTTCATCAACCCTATCCACTGTTGATTTGGCATACCCCTACCCCCAAATTCAAATAACCCCTTGCCAATTTTTGTGGCCCCTACTTTGCCCTTCCGCCTAATGATACATAAAAATGCCACTGTAACCCCCTGCCCTCATTACCGTCAAGGTTATATAATAAAGGTACATACATATCGGTAGGTAATGATAGCACAGTTTTATATGTCCTGTCACGTGATATGTACTTCCGGGTCATATTGAATGATATAGTACGGTAGTGTTTACATTACTTTAGATGTCTTTCTTAACCAGTGGAAATAACACCAGATTTGTATCAGGTGGCACAGAAAATGGCATTATACGTTTGGTGTTTTATTTCAAGTGTTTATGTTTTTTTGTGTTAAAACTAACTTTGCTATACTTATAATTATGGAAATAAGTATCACGTGACGAAAAACGCACCAATATGAATCTGAAGAATATATTAGCGCCCATTGTTATGATAGCGACGTTATTTTACAAAACAGACGACACCGAGAAGCAGACGTCGAAACAACCGAATATAATATATATTTTCGCTGACGATCTTGGATATAATGATGTTGGTTACCATAGATCTGAGATTAAGACGCCCAATATCGATCGACTGTCCCGGGAAGGTGTCCGCCTGGAGAATTATTATGTGCAACCAATCTGTACTCCGAGTAGAAGTCAGTTTATGTCCGGGAGATATCAGGTAGGACTATATATACCATAATTATACAGACGTGAAGCTTAATAGGCTACTTTTGCCTTTTTCATTCAGAAATCATCAATTTGTCTTCCATTCTATGTAAACAAATCCTGTGTAAAATATCAAAGTGTCGGATTACTTTTTGCTTTTTTTTCATTTACAACATAATTAGGAAAAATATCGACACAAAGAATCAGAAAAAGGCGATGAATAAATAAATACCTGATAATAGATATGAATGTCATAATGATTTGTCAATTCGACTAAGTAAAATCTATCCAAGTTTGAAGAATTTCTAAAAGAATTGCAATTTCAGCAATATTGAGTAGAATGACAAAACAAACCGTAGAATTACAAGTATCTAAAGTTTGACATTTAGGAATTTTAGTATATTATTATGGCAATATAAGTAAGGCTGTAATCCTAGTCTAAACTCGTAAAAAATGTGGTTTCCATCAACAAGAAACTAGGTTCTCAAGTTCCCACGGCATATTAACAAATAAAAACTTACAATTTGAATAACTAGGTCTTTAATCCCAATAGCATTAATAGTCTGTTCGTTGTTTTCTTGATATTTGAAACTATATTTACCGCATAGAAGGTAATATTCTGTTCACAACTCTTTCCTGCTAGTATCTGGCAAATAAAAAACCTCTTAACTTTTTGATGTAAGATTATTTCTTTGTTTTCTTGTCATAGAACTGATCTTTATCTTGGGTTAATCTTCGAGATAGGTATAACATATAAACCGGAAGTGATAATAATAAAATACTTGAGCATTCATTTGTAGGGAAAAAAATTGCAAGACCTTGTTTTCTCCCTTGTCCTCCAGTACGACCACAATTACCTTATGAATTTTATTATTGGGGGCTCTGCTATATCAACTATAGTGATTTTGAGTTATTGCCCCTGATATAGCCATAATTTGTTACTTTTAAACGTCAACAATTTTGGTTGAATTCTCTGATTTCTTTAATTGTACTAGAGAAAAAGGTTTTGATAAAATTGATAAAAATGTATATTGGTGAACTTTGGTTAGATATACCAGCGACGCGATTCATGCTGCTATGTGATCATCATTCTGTAGAAATTCATCTTTCCTTTTCTTATTTGCCTTATCTACTGTTTAGATCCACACAGGCTTACAACACGGTGTCATCAAACCCAGTCAGCCGAATGCTCTACCAACAACCAGTCCTACCATTGCTGAAAAACTGAAAGAAGTTGGTTACACAACTCATGCTATAGGAAAATGGCATCTTGGTTTTTATAAGGACAAATTTCTCCCTATTAACAGAGGCTTTGATACTTTTTTCGGTAAGTCTTATTAAGTTCCAACGAATGTTTTGTGTAATTTTTACAAGAGAGTTTTTGCACAAATTCACACATTCTAATTTTGAACATTCAACAACTCGCAGCATTTTCTGCAAAGTTAAATCCTTTGTAATGAATCAATCCTTTTGTCTTCCGGTACCTCAGCATTTTATTGGTGATTTCCAGTCTGAGGAATATTTGAAAAAAATCTTACTCCAGCATTGTGGAATTAATGACTATCAACTATTGATTTCCAGTGCTGAATTTAGTCTTTTTTCGGATACAAGAACCAGTGTCAATCAATACAGAACATGTTATGATCAATTTTCTGGCAGCGGAGAAGGAATTGTGCTCAGAAATTCGTCCAGTTCTACGTCATCTTGATTTGATGTAGTGTATGTAAATCAAAATGACACGAGAAATGTGACTGGAATATTCATTTACCGAGTTTTGTCACCAGATGGCAAATGAATGAAATGTTAAGAATTTTAAAAGGGAGGGAAATATCAACCACCCGGTATCATCTTGAAAGAGTACATTCTGTTAAAGAGGATGTATATTTTTTATCTTAAAGTTGAATGGTACAAATATAAAGATGCCTTTTGGGTAATAGACAGCTACATGGAAACGTTTGATCGTTCAAAGGTGATACTGTTCCATGTAGATACTAGAGCGTATGTGAGATTTTGGGAGTCGACACAATGCTAGATCTCGACCAATTTCTCCATTTTCAGTTGGATGTATCTTATTGTAGGTTTTTATACTGGTGCTGAAGACTATTTCGACCATTTTAGATGTTTTGAATATTGTGGTTATGACCTTCATAACAATGATTCCAGTGTGTTTAACGAGACTGGACATTATTCTACTCACTTGTTTACAGAACGGGCTATCAATATCGTCAAGAGCCATGACCAATCAAAGGTGGGTATCATCCTATCATCGACTTCATTGTTTTGTCGTTTGGGGCGCACACACATTGTAGGATATATGCTATATATGCCTTGATGGGGTCGTTAACGGTTCAGCTTTTTAATGATACTTAGTTAATGGTTCAGCTTTTTAATGATACTTAGTTAATGGTTCAGCTTTTTAATGATACTTAGTTAATGGTTCGGCTTTTTAATGATACTTAGTTAATGGTTCAGCTTTTTAATGATACTTAGTTAACGGTTCAGCTTTTTAATGATACTTAGTTAATGGTTCAGCTTTTTAATGATACTTAGTTAATGGTTCAGCTTTTTAATGATACTTAGTTAACGGTTCAGCTTTTTAATGATACTTAGTTAATGGTTCAGCTTTTTAATGATACTTAGTTAATGGTTCAGCTTTTTAATGATACTTAGTTAATGGTTCAGCTTTTTAATGATACTTAGTTAATGGTTCAGCTTTTTAATGATACTTAGTTAATGGTTCAGCTTTTTAATGATACTTAGTTAATGGTTCGGCTTTTTAATGATACTTAGTTAATGGTGCAGCTTTTTAATGATACTTAGTTAAAGGTGTGCCAATTGTCATGGTGAAAATTCTAAAAAAAAGTAGCGATCCAAAAATGGATCGGAGCAACTCTCATAAAAAGTGACACTTGATATTGTGAAGATGTTCAATATTATTTTATTTAACACATACATATTAAACACTTTACATTATCATACAGAACATATTTAAAGGTAGGGTTTCAATCCTACATCCCACAAATTTAACTATAGATCTCGTACATCTTAAATCTATAAAATACATGACACGTTGTTTATGATATTGTTAAGATGCCAACATGTCGATATCCCAGTCGTGTCACGTCCAATGAGAGGGAAGGGTCAGATTTGTCGGACTACAACCAATGAAGTCCGTCTGTATTTTTCAGCCAATGTTTTTGTACCTCGCATACCAAGCAGTCCATTCACCGTTACAGGCACCAAGAAGGTACATCAGACCATATTTTCATATACAAGATAAACATAGGAGGAAATATGCAGGTAAATTAGGTGTAGAAAAATTTACTAATACAGTTTGAACAGTTGTATTCTTGCCGTGGATATTTCACTCCTTTTCATTAGCCCACAATATTTCAAAGCCATTTGTTCAAATTTATCATCCTGATGAGGATTTTATATTTGAAATACTTATTATCATTTAAATTTGATTCGAGTTTTTGTGCTGCAGAGTGTTATCGTTGTGGAATTTATGCTCCTGTTCAGATGCCATAATCCATTTACCAGAAAGCTATCTTGTATGCCACAAGCCAGCTATCCAGAAAAGACTTAATTTTGATAGTTGTCATGCCGTGAATGTTGACAAGTGATGTTGGCCGTCAGTCGAATATTAGAAAGTGCTCATTTCTAACACTAGCTGTCCTAGTGAGTATTCTTAAACTTAAAGAGTCTCAGTAGCATTTTATTGGAAGTAAATTAGAAACTGTTTATGGATCTCTGTTTATTTTACAGGTATGGTTTCGTGTTTAGATGAAGGAATTGGAAATCTCACTGATGCTTTAAAAGAGGCTGGAATGTGGGAGAATACTGTTTTCGTTTTCTCTACGGGTATGTTTCAGCTTCTAACTTAATCCTTGTCTTTTTGTGGATACAGTTTCAGAACGTATCCAGTTTGAAGCAAATAAAGTGTCATTTCCGCTACAAGGTAACCCGGAACGAGCTTTACTTAAATCAATTCCAATTGAATGTGGAAAACTTTCTGCAATAAATTCAAACCATGACAGTTTAGCTCGTCTTTAGTTTCAATATTATAAGGTTCCCTCAAACAACCCTGAGTTCTAAGTACAGCCATCAAATCCTTTGTAATTATAAAGGATATTATGAGGGTAAAAGCATTAAATGTCTATGATATTGCAGATAACGGTGGAAGTATAGGAGACGGAGGGAATAACTGGCCATTACGAGGATGGAAAGGTTCACTATGGGAAGGTGCTATGAGAGGTGTGGGATTTGTTTTAAGCTCAAAGTTAAAATATCCTGGTACGGTCAACTATGAATTTATTCATGTCTCAGACTGGTATCTAACATTCCTGAAGATAGCTGGTGCTAAACGTAATGGTACTAAAGATATGGATGGTTTTAATCAATGGTCAACTATCAGGTAATTATAGTAGGTCATTTTTAGAAATATCATACCGCTACCTGTACCAGACCCAGAAAGCATGTTGGATAATAGACCGAAACGTCTGTCTTTATTCCAGTCTCTGATAGCTATTTGGACATTTGAAAAGATGAATATTTTTGTAGTTCAGTCATACCATTATTTCCCCACTACACCATTTATGTCATATCTCCGGTTCCATCAAAGTTTTTCTGGCGAAACTGAATTAGCACCGGTCATTGAAAACTGTGTGTGCAGCTAAAAGTCCAAAGGTCACAGAGTCACGTGAAACTAACAAAAGTTGCGGTGATGCCCAACACTAATTTACAATCATCTTGTTTCGGACTAGTTGGATAACTTTACCAAACTTAACATTTCATGTAAGTCAGTTATCATTTATTGACGTATGTTCCATGTGTACTGCCATTGAGCACTATCTGTATTAGCTTACGACCCCCTTGCCACTTTGGGTTGATTATATTGAAAGGTGGATTTTTGTACTGTTTTTATATATTTTTAGTGAGAATGCTCCCAGTCCAAGAAAAGAATTGCTCCACAATATAGATCCTCTTACAATGAAGCAGGGGAAACGACTGTATCGAGATACTTTTGATAATAGAATACGAGCTGCTATCAGAGTGAACAATTGGAAATTAATTACTGGGTATCCAGGTTAGTGAAGTCTCGCCTTACTATTATGTAAAAAAGGTTAGAAAAGATGAATTTTATTTAGATTAATGAAAACTGGTAGTATTGATCAAAATTATGACGAAACCCATCTTCACAACATCAAGATACTATGAACTCCGTCTTAAACCTTGACTGCAATAGCCTCTATTCTTTCTCCCGAGCCAATAACATCATTTATTTCGGCCATGTTCCAAACTTACTTTTAGTGCTATAATTCAAATCGATGGTCAAGTGTATTTTATTTGTTGTAGGGAACAGCTCCTGGATTCCACCTCCTCACATTTCAAGACACCTGGACCCTAGAATCCGCTATCAATCAGACAGTGTGTTTGAGTTGTCTATATCAGGCGATGGATCTGCTGATATGGGGTTGTCATCAAATAACGCAATTGACTTAAACCTACCCGGAAATTCTCAAAACAACTTTATTATGGACTTACCACACACCACACGTCATGACTATATTCAGCCAGAAATATATATGAAGAGAAAAGACAACAATGACGCTAAAAACATTTGGCTATTTAACATTGCCGACGATCCTTACGAAGAGATCGATCTATCCAATACCCACATAGACATTGTTCGATCTCTTTTGGATCGTTTATTAGAGTATGAAAAGACAGCGGTACCAATACGTTATCCGGCTTACGACCCAGAAAGTAACCCACAAAAACATGGCGGACAGTGGAAACCATGGAAATGAAATTCTCAATAAATTCTTTATTCCTTTTATCTGTTTAATCTTATATCAAATTTGATATTAGTTGTTTTCTTTTGTGTAACTGTCAAGATGATATCAATGGATTGATAAAATAAATGAGAGAATAGTCCGCCTGTAGAAGTACTATAGCAGCTTAGTTGCTCTCTATTTACCTGGATGGAATCTTCGGAAATAATAGTAATCTTATGAAGTAAATATTAGTTTTGATGGAAGCCCATTTGAAATGAAATGCAAGTGGGTTGGAAAAGGCATGCAATTTTTTTTTGGTCGAATCTATACTTGAAGAGTTTTTGCCTTTAAACTAGTAAAGTGGCGACAAAATATTTTTGTCTGCACTAAGAAGCTACAATTTTCAGTCGATTGTAATGAAAGTTGGTGTTTTAATTTATATTGATGAGATCTTTGATCAGTTCGAATTTGATGATTTTTTTAATAAAATATTTTTGAGTTTTTGCCCTTGACTTAGTATTAACGCGTTAAAATATGTTCATTAGCACAGTAGAAGTTAACATTTACAACTGATTTTAATGAAATTTGGTGTGATCATTTATATTGATGAGATCTTGGTCAGTTTTTGAGTTATTTTTCTTCACGAACACAATATTAACCACAGTTTTCACCTGTTATTAATGAATATGACGTCATATGTCGTGAACTCGAAATAATGTTAGTTACCCGAGTTCTCCAATAGAAAACACGACTTCCGAGCAAAATTTGAAGTAACGAATGCTATATACCATCTCGGAAGTCGTATTTCCCGTATTTCCCAGAGGTAACAAATACAACATTATAAGTGTGTGATATCGCTCACAAATTGTAACCTACTGTTCGATATATTAAAACTTTACCTCAATACATGTGCCTATCATTTTGTTATCTCATCCTTTATATTAACTTAGTGTTCTATTTTTTGACCTGAAGATCATTTTTAACTCATGACTGTTAAGCCACCTTATATTTCGGATTTTAGTTTATTTGTTTTGTGTTGCTCTTAGTATAATTCTGTATTTAGTACAATTATATATTGTCACAGTGATATTTTCTGCATATTATAATATTAAATGTAAAACAATAAGTAAGCAGATTGAATTAGCTGTTTGTGATGCACTTTCGGAAAGTCGCGTAGTCAAACACAGTTCGGGAGTATTTAAAATAGAAAGATTTTCAAGAGGAAATATGGAGGAGGACACAACATCTATTAGCTGGCGGATCGGTTATTCTATCTTTGGAATCTACCTTGTATATAAATTGATACTCGGACTCAAACGTTTTATAGAGAATTTTAAGTTTTTCAACCAACTCCCGGGAGAAACAGACTTTCACTGGATATGGGGAAATCTACACAAGGTATTTGATTATGCTTCCAATTTGATCTCTTTATTTTAGTCAAACAAAGTATGATATCCTCTAAATTACAGTTTGGATAGAGCTCAATACTTGCTCGCTGTATAACATTCCAAAAAGTGAAAAAGAATAATATTTTTTTGTTACACGCTTTAAAGGGATTGTAAGTGGCTTTCTAGAAAAAAAGCCGATGGTATAAATTTGCGCCATTCCAGATTTCAGACAGACGTCAGGGGTTTCTTCAATCACACTAAAACTAAGTGTTTGATGACGTCACTTATTGCGATGTGATAAAGCATATTTTTCTGATTTGATACACCATCAAACACTTAAATTGTGTGGAATTGCAGAAACCACCGAAAATTGAAATGGTGCAAATTGTTAAAATGTGGAGAAAGGTTGTTCTAATGATATTTTCCATGTTTTTGTCATTCGAAGTTATCTCGGAACACAGAAGAAAGGATGGCATATGTCAAAGAATTATTGAAGAAATATCCACGATTTTACCGCACATGGTTGACACCCTTTAAACCAGTTATTAACCTTAGTCATCCAGAAACTGTTAAAGTGTTACTCAAAACATCAGGTACGTTTTACCTTGTGTTTCTACTGCATGTGCTTTACCACGAATAGAATGTTTTGAACTAATTAGTATTTCAGTTCATTATAAAGGGACAGTTACGCCATTTTGGGGTGGATGGGTGTTTGTCTTCAGAAGTATTAGAAATGTATAATTCCTTCATAAATATCTAAAAAAAAAGAATTTTTTCCTTATAAACAGATATCTTTTCTATGAATTTCAACGATGAGCCGTGAACACTATTACTAATTGGCTAAAAGAAAAACTCTCGTTTTTGAGACTAAGGTATAATGGTAAAAAATGGCGAACTTTAAGGTTATGAAAGCCAATTGATATTGGTTGGCAGCCATCTGGACAAAATATCTTCCTATATTGACTCACAAAATTTACTTCTCCAGCTATAATTGAAATGTCATATAAATTTCCCTTTTGATATTGTTTCCGACGTATCTGTTTTAGAGCCAAAACCACGGGGATTTGGTGCCTCTTATGAATTTGCCCTACCTTGGTTAGGAGACGGCCTTCTTCTGGCAGGGGGTAAAAGATGGGCGAGGTCCAGACGTCTGTTGACTCCAGCTTTCCATTTTGATATCCTGAAACCTTATGTAACTATTTATAACGAAGCTGCAGACATACTCATAGTAAGTTTTCTGTGTCTTGTTTACTTTGTGAAATAGTATGTCAATTGGAATTTCTCATCTTCTGATTGTTTCTTTTTTATTAATAATAATAATTTATTCACAAGAAACGGATTAGGAAACAGGCTTCCGCCTTAAAGGGATTGTAAAGAGGTTTACTTAAAATTTATGTGTATCGCAGACACTGATAGCATCAATTTGCGCTATGCCGATTTTCAATCAGACGTGTGTGGTTCCCGCAATTCCACTAAAACTAAGCGTTTATGACGTCACTAATCGATAACGCACAGTTTTAGTGGAATTACAGGATTTAAAATTAGAATGGTGCAAATTGATGCTATCAGTGTCCCCCATTCACATAAAATGTTCAGAAAACCCTTTACAGTCCCTTTATAGTTACTGTTCTTTAACATACATATGCCATTTCAAATATATTGAACTTGGTTGATTCCATAAGAGTTATCGATATAAAGTCAAGTTCAATGGTCGCCGGGCTAAATTGATCACGTTTGCAGGTACGAGTGCACCCCTTTGTCAGAAAACGCCTGTTCTCGAAAACGTTTTGAATTTATATAATAAAGAGTACACGTTGTCTCCATAATACATACATACATATATATAATACATACATTTGTTATTGCATTGGAAAATGACTACATGTACATAAAACGATCTTTGATTTTTCAGGAAAAGATTGATAAATTTGCTGAAAATGGCGAAAGTTTTGAAATCTTTAGCTTAATTTCTCAATGTACCTTAGATGTTATTTTACGATGTGCCATGTCCTACAAAGGAGATATTCAGAGAAAAGGGTAACTTTGGTATAATTAATTTCGAATGTTATTCTTATTGCCAAGTCCAGAAATCGAGTTTGATTCTCATATCAAAAACGAGCAAATAGGTCCATTCAAATATTACATGTAGCGCTGGCCATTCAAATATCACACGTATCGCTGGACATTCAGATATTACATGTAGCACAGGCCCTTCAGATAGCACATGTAGCTCTGAACATTCAGATATCACATGTAGCACTGGTCATTCAGATATCACATGTAGCACTGGCTGTTCAGATATTACATGTAGCACTGGCTATTCAGATATTACATGTAACACTGGCTATTCAGATATCACATGTAGGACTGGCCGTTCAAATATCACATTTAGCACTTGTCATTCAGATATCACATACATGTAGCACTGGTCATTCAGATATGACGTAGCACCGGCTATTCAGTTATGACATGTAGAACTGGTCATTTAGATATCACATGTAGAACTGGTCATTCAGATGTCACACGTAGCACTGGCAATTCAGATGTCACACGTATCACTGCTCCTTCAAATATCACATGTAACTCGGGCCATTCAGATATTACATATAGTAATGGCCATGCAGATATCACATGTAGCACTGGCCGTTCAGATATCACATGTAGCACTTGCCCTTCAAATATCACTTGTAACTCTGGCCGTTCTGATATCACATGTAGCATCTGTCATTCAGATATCACATGTAGCACTTGTCCTTCAGATATCACATGTAGCACTTGCCCTTCAGATATCACATAAATGCAGTACTGGTCATTCAAATATTACATGTAGCAATGGCTATTCAGATATTACATGTAGCACTGACCTTTCAGACATCACATGTAGGACTAGTCATTCAGATATTACATGTAGTACTGGATATTCAGATATTACATGTAGTACCGGCCGTTTAGATATCACATGTAGCACTTGCCCTTCAAATATCACATGTAGCACTTGCCCTTCAGTTATCACATACATGTAGCACTCTCTTAAGTTATCACATGTAGAACTGGCCTTTCAAATATCACATGTAGCACGGGTCATTCAGAGATCACCTGTAGCACTTGCCCTTCAGATATCACATGCGAAACTAGCCATTCAGATATCACATGTAGCACTGGCTTTCAGATATCACATGTAGCAATGGCCATTCAGATAGCACATGTAGCACTTGCCCTTCAGATAGCACATGTAGCACTTGCCCTTCAGATATCACATGTAAAACTAGCCACTCAGATATCACATGCAAAACTAGCCATTCAGATATCACATGTACCACTGGCCACACAGATTGAAAATATGGGTTAGCTTACAAGAAACGTTTTATGAATTCTATACGATCTATATATCTGGATATGATTGAGTGTGAAGAGTCGATAAAGATGTTACTTGAGCAAACAATTTCTTACTTTCTATTTGTAGGGAAACTCATCCGTACAACCAAGCTGTAAATGAATTATCAGAACTTTGGTTTGATAGAGGAAGGTAAGGTTATTTATACTGAACAGTCGACATTTTCGGGGATTGATTTGGGTCTTTAATAGTCTTAAGAAGTGCTTAAACGCACGATATCGCATAATCCATTCAAATATAGCCTACCTTAAACTAGAAATTTCACTGTCTATTCCTATATATGTGTTTTCCATATATGGCATAGTCTCACTGGAGTCGAATTTTTAACTTTCAAACGTGAATAATTATGGATACACAAGGATTTGAAGTCTCAAATTTATAGCTGTGAACACTATTACTGATTATATGAATTAAAAACAATTTCTGAAACTAAGGTATGATTGGTCGAACGGATAGTGAAGATGCTCATTTAAAATGTAATCGTATACTTTTATCACTTTGCGCCATTAACAATTGAATAAAAACAAACAGAACATATACAAAATTTATCTTTGATACTGATAGAAATCTTCATTATAATGAGCAGTAGTAGCAGCACACCTACCCTCAGCCCTTGGTACCTCATCACCGTTGTTTGGGCATATTTAGTTGTTTTAAGGTTTTGATCCAATCTATACTTATCTTTCTGCGTTCGCAACAAGTGGTAATGCTATCCCATGAATAGGGTTCCTCACCAGAACATATCAAAATATGCATGTCAACCATTTTATTTTCAGGCAGCCATGGTTGTATTTTGATACCTTTTATTATATGACTAAAGACGGGAAAAGATTTCGAGAGCAATGTAACTACGTCCATTCTGTATCCGAGGAAATCATTGAAAAACGACGAAAAACTTTGGTATGGGCTATTCCAATATTTCGTGTATCTTTTTTATCAACTGGTGAGCGTCCATGTTTAACTTCGTAGTAATATCTGATGACTTCAAGTAACATATCGATACTATACTGGTGTAGAAGAATTAGTTTTTGAAGTCTTGGTTCCAGGACCTATGAGCTCATTGTCTGGCGACCGATATTTTAAAGTTACCAACCCCTTCACATTTTAAGGTCATTAGTTGCTTCTAAAACTAATCTGTACCGATATGGTATCTGTTTCCAACCCATGTATTTCTAGTTGAGGATTGATATTTTTATCAATCCTTGATAACTACGTTCTTTTAGGAAACTGAAGGGCCTAATAAGAAACAGAGATATTTGGACTTCTTGGATATTTTGTTAACAGCTAAAGATGAAAATGGTGTTGGGTTAACTCCCCTTGAAATTCGAAATGAAGTGGACACGTTTCTATTTGAAGGTATACATGTATATATATTTCTAGTATGCAGCCTAAAACACTTTATAAATGCATTTGCAAGGTGTTCTCTACGGTGGTTCGTATACGACATCATTTTTTAAATTAAAAAACTTGACTATAATCATAAAACATAATTTTGAATTAAAAACTTTACAAAAACTTTGAAAATTAATATTCTATAGGGTGAAAATTCTAGAATTTTGAATTGAAAACTTGATTCTAAATTATGTTTTATAATTATATTCTAGATTTTTGATTCCTAATTAAAAAAAATAAATGATGTCGTATACGAACCACTGTAATTATCACCTAGATAAAACTGATTATCACCATGGTGACAACACTTATCACCTTGGAGAAAATTAAAGTTTTAATCAAAAATTACAGAAATTATTATTTCTCTGTTAATGCCTTATTCAATCAATTCTGGTGGTATAGCACAGTAAAAGTATTTCATTCCATTGCTATTGACATAGTGATACAGCCGTGAACGATCTATGAAAAAGATATTGCTCAGTGTTTTCGACAATAGTGTTTGCTAATTATCTGCAAACTTTATTATCTTTCTTCAGGTCATGATACTACAGCTAGTGCTATATCTTGGATCCTGTATTCTCTTTCTACACATCCTCTGTATCAACAACAAGTCTTTGGTGAAGTAGAAAATTTAGTAGGTGACAGGGAATGTCCTAATATTAAATGGTACGTGCACTTATATGTGTGACTTGTATATCAATTGACATTCGTATTCCTATAATCATTCGGATTGGACAGTAAACCGCAGCCCGGGTGTGTGCCCGTTTAAGATCAGTTGTAAATTTAAAATTCACAATTCACATTTCACATTGCATGGCGTTGTCTGTCTTCAGGCAAGAAGATGAAGGGACAGATGTCTTGGTCTCACTAACATGAATATTCTTTTATCTAAGCCAATCAGCCTCCTATTTCATGTGCCATAATTGAGGTGTGCAATGATAATTGATGAACAATGATCACTGTGCTTCCAGGAATGATTTACCAAAGTTGGAATATTTGAGTCGAGTTATTAAAGAGGGAATGCGTCTACATTGTCCAGTTCCGTTCGCTCAGAGAGAATTAACACAAGATACCGTTATAGACGGACACCTGTTTCCAAAAGAAACCCATTGTTCTATACATATACTTAATCTTCATCATAATCCTCTAGTCTGGTCCGATCCCTGGGAATTCCAACCGGATCGTTTCTTACCGGAAAATATGCAGAACTTAGATAGCTATGCTTTTGTTCCGTTTTCCGCTGGTCCTAGGTAAATATAGCCTTCATGTTACTAACAAGGTATCTCAACCTAAAAATTATTATGCAATAGCGGTAATCTTATACCTGCCAATAAAAGATTCAAATGTATCGTCGCCTCCATAAACATGACGTTCCAATTTTATTGTTCTGCGTCTGAAAATATTATGCAAAAACGGGCAAAGACATTCTAGAAGAAAAAACCTTAATTTCCTACACCTTCATAAAGGTCAAGCTATTACGAACTTCGTCTCATTCCTTGACTGTAAAAGGATGCAGGCGATTTGATTGGATTTACGCGAGCGAATACAGCCAAGAATGAATAGCCATTAATCTACATCATGATTCATTAAGACTAAACCGTGCTGAACTACCTCGATGGATCAAGGAGAATTAATAAGTCTTATTATCTCCTTATTATTTCTTATTTTCCTGTAGGAATTGTATAGGTCAACATTTTGCGATGGATGAAGAAAAGGTTCTTCTCTCCCGTATAATACAAAGGTAAGAAAGAGCATTTCTGAAAGGATACTGAGTCTTTGGGAAATTTCAGTGGCAGGTCCATATTCATTGGCATTTACAGTGTGCTCTGTGATATTATCCGACATCTGAGTATTCCTACATTCTCTGCAATCCAACATTTTTTTTTTATCACAATAGATTTCCTTCTTAAGTTAGTTTGGAAAACTCTGAGTACTTCGAAATTTTGTTTATCGTGAATTGTCGTGAATTACGACACTAACCAGTGTCTGTATAATCTAGTCATCTTAATCTATTATTACCAATTAGATGATCGTATAATTTAAAGTTTATGAGTGAATAGAATTCCTAATAGAACTTCGTCAGTAGATTTATTACTTTAAATAAGAATTTCGTTGCTAACAATAGCGGGTAGCTTAAAATCATATGAACTAAAAATTAATGTTTGATTCCAGATACCAATTAAAAGCTGATCCTGATCACTTGGTTCAGAGGAAAGTAGCCGCTGTAATGAGAGCTGAGAATGGAATTCGTATGTTTGCTACTAGACGATGATATCTGCTTAATATCGGTGTGCCAGAATTTGAAAACCTTACATCTCGATTTAAAAAAAATTCTCATATCATAGGAATTCTAAAGAGGTGTACTATTTTTGAACATTTTGTATATTTTTTTTTTATTGCATCAGTCTCGTCTTTTAGTGTTCCGAGTCACGCAAAATACCACATAACTTCTTTGAATCTTTTAACCTGAACTATTATTTCCTGGTGGTTAAAGGGATTGTAAAGAGTATTTGTCTAATCTAGGAATTGTTCACTTTTCTGTCCCGAAGAGGGAACATTCGCCACTGATTTCTTGAACCATGAGCTTTTAACTTTGACCTATTTTGCTTTTGAGTGCTACTACAAAATATTTATCAGCATGATACTCTTTTAAAAGATATCCACATTTCTTTCAGAGAATCCACATAGGTTAGATTTTTATCACACAACAATTGTGTATGTGGTTTATTGATATTTCACTCTGCGTATGTTATATGAATTTTATGAAATTAGTAAATATTCCCTGGCCATGGCCCCTTAATATTAAATCTTCATAAATTTCATATTAAATAAGCTCTCATTTAAAATTCTCTAAATTTGGTATACCTATTGTTGTTATTGAGTTAGTCTTGCCATATGCCAAGTGTTATATTGTTTTATCATTATTGCAATTGTGTAACAAGTTATAATAAAATAACGTTAAAATTGTGATATTTATATGTTAACATAATGATTACTAGAAACTAAAAACTTGCATGCATTAGATTCCTTTACTTTCAAATGCATAGTTTCCTGCCAGACAATACCAGAGACATTTTTCTCTTTTACTTAGAGATCTGTAGATGTATATGCCATAGCTAGCAAGTTGTATGAGCGATATCTAACTTTTTATTTGACAGCTAATTCTACATTAAAATAAAGTTTGCAGTATTTATGCCTTAAGATATTCCTGAATGTACATGTTGTCTCACTATACTTTAGTGCCTATCTTTACAATAACACTGCTCAATGGAATGTGCAATCAACTGATTAATACAAAAGAGGTAAAATATATAAATTACAAATTTATTATTGTCCCATCAAATATACAATATTGAGAGATATACATTTAACAAAATTATACCAATATACACAAACATTAACAGTAATCTTTGTTATATACAAGATTGCACACAAAGATATCAAAGGAGTTCTGTTGGACTTAATATGAAAACAATAAATGGAGAAATGTGTGTTAATACACATTTTTAAAAATATTCAGCAACCATTACTACAATTGCTACGTATTAAGAATACTTTGTCAAAATATTCTGGAAATCTTGTATTTGTGATAAAATTGAACAAAATAACAGAACCTCCATCCAAAAATGTAGACAAGTAAGTTTAAACAGAAAGGATAGTGTCTATTAATCTGATTTAAATATTGCCATGGTAATATTTTCCCTTCGGCCAATCAAAAGATTCCTGAAAAATAAAAAAAAATATTGGGTACCACACCATCTGCTAGCTTGATATAAGGGTTGATTTGATAACTGCAAAAACACTTTAACTTTTGAGAAAACAATGTTCTGTTATTAATCATTTACCTAATAAAGGGGGGGGGGGGGGGTTAAAAGGTATAACCCTCTAAGACAAGATAACAGTTTAAGAACATAATTCATCATACCCATTTTCTGATTCTATATATATACTTGGTGAGTTGGAGGTCTTTCGTAAATGTTCAGCCTGTTGGGCAACACTTGCTATTGATCCTGAACAATTGGAATTACTCACACCTTTTGCTGAAAATAACCCAAAAATGTTTACAATTTGACTATACTGGCAACAATGTTATGGTTATATCTGAAGGGATTCTAAGACCCTTTCTAATCCCTTATGTGTATTCATTACAAACATCCTGTGCCTGAGGACGACAGGGGAAACACGTCGAAACGTTGCATAAAACTTTAACCAGTGATTGTTGTTCCATAAAGCTGTGTCTATATATCGTACTCACAATTGCTAAATGCCATTCAAAGACTTTATGTTAATAGTTCTTGTAATTATTGAAATGCTAAGTGTACCAATATCTACGTCGATATCACAAAATTCACTTAACATCATTAAGTCATAAAAAGTTTAGTTTTAGTGAATAGACATGTGACTATAAAGTGGAATGGTGCAAATCGTTGCCATCAGTGTCTTTAATACACATAAAATTTAAGAAAACCTATTTACAATTCCTTTAATAGAGATGATCTGTGAATCTGCCAGAGCAGTAACAATATGTTATGGCAATGAAAATACATTGATGTAGACAACATACATGAGGGTACAAACAAATATAATTATTCTGTGATTGTCAAGTTGGAATACTAAGTATCCCAATTCATTATTATAATTAGTTCAATTAATTAGTTAGTTTTTTTTTTTAAATATACTACTGTTAACTTACATGCAAGACAAAGACCCTGTTCATCTGTACAAATAATACCACTGACTCCAGGAATCTTAAATCTATAAAATAGTCATTAGATTACTCATTGTTATAGATCAACAAGTACACAAGTCTACATAATTTACTGTGGCTTCTGAATTGAATGCAGCACATTGATAAGGGAATATGCCCATGTAACAATCCACGATTATTTATGTCTGACTGCAGCAGACAGAATGACCAAAATTTTACATAAATATACCAGCACCCACCCGTTAGCTACCACCTTATGGAAAAGTGCACAAGCAAATTCTGCCTGAGATGAGGCTTGGGTGTATGTCAGAGTCATTTAATTTCAGCAGTGATTTCAGCAAGAATATCTGGATATGTAGGAATTTTTGTCATTTATGCAGATTGATAATTTTGAATGAAAATTAAACAATTCCAGTACCAAGGATTTTCATTATGCCAAATCTATGAGATTTTGTGAAAGGCAAAATCTGAAAGCAACAAGATTTATAGTGACTCTTATCTGGAAGGATCAGATTAATTACTGGCATTATCGTCTACTTGTTCAAGCTTGTCTTTTTCATCAACGAGATCTCCAGTTGAGGGCAGTTCCTATTATTGAAATGTTGTCAATAAATAGTGTCAATGAGAGAGCGCCACTTTGTAGTTAAAGTGAAAAACATTGGTGTAACTTAAAAAGGGGAAACCACTGTAAGCCAAATGATGTTGGAAAGTTGAAAAATCATAGACACCAATCATCAGGGAATGAATGATTGGTTATGTAAAGTGACAAATATTGAAAACCGACAAACGGTGCTATTTCTTGGGATAGATTGTAGGTAGCAACAGGACAAGACTTATAAGTACTTACGTTTCTTCAAGATGTTTTTCTAGACTCTTTTCCATTTTTTCATAGATATTTCAAAAACTTTCAAAATGAAAACAATCTCACTTCCGGTTTGATGAGAGACAACGCCCTCTATCTGTGGCACTTTTATTTTTTTTTGGAAGGGGGTGGTAGGCTAGTACAAAATCCTACAATATATCGATTTAACAATTTACTTTCAAATATCATAATAATGCTATCAATCGGTCCTTAAATTCATACAATATCATAAAATAATTATCTTGAGTATAACAACAAAACATAATTGAATGAGAAATATGTATACTCTCCACCCTTTTTAAAGATTTTAACCAGTCCAAAATATACAAGGCCATTACTATGGACGAATTATTAAGGTGAAAATTGTTTTTTTTTCATCAAATTTATTGTTTGATTTGACAGTTGTCTTTGTATTATCTTAAAATTAGTTATTTGAATACGAACATATTTGGTAAGTTGACTTTGACATTTCTCTGCCGTGAAGACCACACATTACTGCAGAAACCATAATAATTGATTCATAAGATAAACAAAATAAAACCATGCAATCAAAACAAACAAATGTGGTATGAAGTAATAGTATGCTACTATTCTAAAGGATTGGTTATATATCCTTGAAATATAAGGCTGGGATTATGTTAAAGCTTTTGGTATTGTTTACTTTCTTGTAAAATTCACCTCCAAGCTAATGTTTCATTGATGCAGGAATATTGGAAAATAGACCATAGCCTACACCTAAGCCTAAGGCCTAAATATAAAATTGGCTTACTACAGTGGTTTCCCCCTTTACAAATTCCTTCCCTAGTGGTTTCCCCCTTTTTCAATTTCCACTCCAGTGCCTGGAATTGAAAAGGATATAGAGGAATTATTTCGTTTAGGCAAAGATCTGTTATAAATGTCTACTAGGCCTATTGATAACATTTTCAGAACACATATCAAAATTTGTCTGTAAATGCAATACATGCGTAAGCGAGCTCTTTCCAATTCATTTTTACCCCATTCTAGACAAACAGGATATGTTCACTGTAAAAATTGATTTAAAAACCTTTTATTTATGGATGTGGCTATTAATTGTGAATATTTTATTTTCTAGATCGAGGAATATTTTAACAGCAGATTAAACTATGGATTGATTTCGCACAGCAGTGTCAGGTGGTTTTAGAAATGCAAAATGAAGGTGATGTTTAAATACTAGGTTAAAGCTGGTGTTCAATTGCCCCCCCCCATGTTGGATCCACCAAAGAAATCTCAGTCTTCTGAGTCTGAAAATGACATAAGGAGTCTGTCTGATATGAGCATTTCATCGGGAAGTGATACGTCACAAGGACGGAGTGGGGGACGCAAACTATCACGTAAACTCTCCTCAAATCCCTTTGAATCGTTTGAAACAACAGTCCCGCAGTCAAATGTCAGAATCGCAGTAGAAAATGATGAAGGTGAATCTCCATGGGATCCAGATAAAAATCCTCAAAGTGTTTTATACAACGATAATGTGTTCAATGGAAATGGCCCATCTGAAGAGAATGAATTCAGGAATAACGTAAACTCAAAGACAGTTAGTGACAGTATGAAAAGTCCCCGAGTCCACCAAAGACAGACAAATAACTTTTCACGCAATTCTCGGCATAATAGGAACAAAAAACTGGAATCCAATCACTTGAGAGAAAGTGATGAAGATGTGTCAAAAACTAACGGTGTTGATCCCATCCCTCAAACTAAGCCCCTTCTTCACCGGAATTGTCCAAGATCTGTGAAATCCCACCTGCCATTAACAAGCGTCGTGGTAAAACAATGTTATAAAGATGGGGTGCCACCCAAACAAGATAGTAGACAGTATTTACCAGTCACACAGCATTATAAACATACTAATCGTGGAGTTAAACCACATGTTTTCAAAGAAAAACTATCGGTATGTATTTCATCTATTATTAGATCTGACCTGTGACTGATTTGTGATTACTCATTCTGGCTACGTATTCTCAATACAATCTTAGCTAGGGCTGATCTTAGGGACTTGACACTGGGCGCATATTCTCGAAACGACCTTAGCTCCAGGATATCCTAGAAATAGTGTGAGAAGTTAAGAACTTATGACATCCTATCGCTAACATTGTTTTGGGGCCATGTATATAGACATCCTAAATTTAACCATATAGCACTCACTAAATGTCATTCTTGATGCTCAAAATGGCTTTTTTTTTAAAAACGCTTTGAGGACGAGAAGATGCTCCAGCTAGTATTGCATCTATCTGCTGAGTGCTAACAAGTTGTGTTATTGATAAATGTTTATTTCTGTTCAGTCCATGTCTGAAGTGGTGCTATGTACGTTTATGTTCTCTTAGCTACAAAGAGGATCCAACCTTCAATGATTTATTTGTTAAATATATTAGAGATGATAATATGCTAAAAAGTTTATTATTATAATTCTACTATAATCTCATCTTCTCTAGTTTGACATTATGTAATGTATATTTTCAGACAATGAAAAGATGGTTTTCAGATTTTAATGACGAACAAAAAAATCTGCTTCTAAAATCACTTCTAGTAAGTTTTAATTTTATGTTTCAATTTTTTTTTTCCTATAAGAAGTAAGTTTATATGTACATCACAATTTGCTGTTAACAATTCTAGTTTACTTTTTTGAACCATGTAATTATTTTCTTGACGCCCAAAAATTCAGACTTTTTCTGGAAATATGGAGATCAAGATTACTTAAAAGGTGAATGCAAATCAAATCATTGGGATATTTGAAAACATGGTCATATCTTTTGCTGTTGGTATATGAATATATATACAGAAAATATATATATCTTCTTTGATGTTAGTATCAGTAACCTTAGTAAATATAACAAGATTTATGTGGTTTCATTAAGATAAGGTAGTTTATTCTCCACCATGATCACATATAATATTTTCTCACAGGATGGTTGTGAATTACCTCAGATTCATCTCTTATCAGTGAAAATGGAAGAGAAGTTTCATCATGGTTGCCCCTTAAACTGTCAAGATATTATAACATGGCTGCCATCTAATATAGCTCTTAAAATAATGTCTTACTTAGATCCAGGTAATAACAATATTTTGATTCAATGATTGAAACTAACGAAATAAGAAAATTATTAACCATGTTGACTAATAAATAGTCAACAACAAACATCCTGAATTACATTTTGTTTGTCAATGTTTTTCTTTTTGTACATTACATATGCACATGGATTGAATGTTAGACAGGACCATGTCAGTTTGGTTTATTGAATCTAATTCTGAACTATTCTGAAGTATTTTTATTTACAGCTAGTCTATGTAAAGCCTCCCAAGTGTGTCGGGTCTGGAGACAGCATGCTGATGAACCAATATTCTGGCGAAGGTTTTGTTGTCAACAGAAATGGCGGCTATCTAAGGCTGCTGAACATAAACAAGTCATTTGTCATATGTCATCTGAGGGCAGTATTCAGGTAACTAATTTTGTAATATTGTCAGCTTCGTGTTTAAAACTATATATTTGGAATTTGGTCCAACAACCCATGGGATTATTAATATTACTCATCTTGTACAATTCAAAATGCTTTTTTCACAAAATCAGTTATGATAATTGGTTAAAAAAACTAGATTATAAAATCCATTGTATTGATTGTCCCATCAGAACACTGAAACAATTAAAATATCATAGGTCAAGATTTTTTGAATTTTTTTATTATTATTAAAAGTTATGTGTTTTGACTGAAAATTGCTAGAAAACACATATAAGTTTTCATTACGTATATTTCAGTGGAAGAAAGTATTTGCTGAAAGATATCGTCTACGTAGTAATTGGTTACGAGGTCGGTGTACTGTAAGAACATTTGAAGGTCATTCTCAAGGTATAAATTAGATCAAATCTGATATATCAAGTCAACTCATATCTTTATATTGTATTTTGTTGCTTTTATCCCTACTTTATGATAAAAAGTCTTCACAGGTGCAGTACAGAGACAGTTGTTAATTTCTCATTCACAATATCCTGAATAAACTAGATGGTTATAAACTCTTAAATTAATTACATTTTTTTTGCGTAATTGTTGTTTATTTATTGAAAGGTAATTTAATTTGTCTATGTAGTGTGATTGTCTATTGTGATAATGTATAATTTAGGAATATCCTGTGTACAGTTTGATGACAGTAGAATTGTTAGTGGGTCTTCCGATAAAACTATCAAGGTATGTTGACAATTTAATAAGTTTAACTGAGTTTCAAACTGTTTGTCAGATTATTCTAATAATACATGATTATAGTCCATAATTTTACAGTTTTTAGAAGATAATTCACTTATGCATACATTCTATTCTCATTTTAAATCCTTATCTTAACCAGTATAACTGGAATATTCTGAAAAAGCTCAATTTGGCGATCTACTATGAACGTTGGGAAAGTGTTATAAGAAGCTCTGTTTTTAATGGCTTGGTTTACAAACACTTGAAGTCCCAAACAACAAGCCTTCAATTTGTGAACTACCACTTTATCTGGACATAGTATTGTTGAACAAGGCTACTTTCAACACTAGACCAGGTCTAAGGTTTGATTTCTGTTGATTTGAAGGTATGGAATATTCGTACGAATGCCCCTTGGTCAGTTCAAACATTAGTAGGACATAGTGGTACAGTACGTTGTTTACATCTAGACGGAAATAGATTAGTCAGTGGTTCTACAGATAAAACTATTAAGGTAGGAAATGTTACATGTTTATTTATTTACTGTTTACATTATTATTATTATTATTATTTGATGTAATCATGCTTTTTAAAATCTTGCTTAAAAGTGTGAAAATAATGAGTTATTGCTCATGATGTAATGTTCTTCCAAGGCTCATATTCTCATCAAATTAAGTCTTAACTTTGCAAGTTGTTTGGAACATAAAGTATACCTGGATTTAATATCAAATTTGTAGAATCGAGCTAAATATTAGGGATTTCCCAAAATGAAAAGAATCAACTGATTTTTTTATAAGACTAGAATTCCTGATATAGTCTGTTTCAAATCTTGGAATAGCTGACAATTTACAAATATGTAACAACCTTTTAGTCTGGGTTATTTAGAGGCTTACAACTAGTGATAATAATCTAAAATGTTACTGTATGTTTTTATTGTAAGGTATGGGATTTATCAACTCAAGATAACTGGTCTAGTATAGCTTGTAAAGTAACAATGATAGGTCATACAGATACTGTTAGATGTTTACAGGTAGGTTTGTTAAATTGTTCATTGTCTTATTTACAAGAACACATATTGTCTCCTTACATATTTTAAGGAATCACTGTTTATTACCGAGAATAGATATTTTAAAGAATAGATGTTTTTCTTCTAATGATGGTTTTGTAACTTTGTATGACGTATGTATTCATTTTATAAAGCACTTAGGCATAGTTTAGAATTTTGGAACTGAGAATATAACTGTGTTTAAATGAGTAATTTATTATCTAGGTTGATGATGATAAAGTTATTAGTGGTTCGTATGATATGACATTAAAAGTATGGGATTTACGGACAGGACAATCTAGGATGACACTAAGGTAATTATTTCATTAATAAAACATTAACACTATTAATATCATGTGTAAATAGGATGTGAATCAACAATAGTGTGCCTTTGATTTAGTTAGAGTTAGAAATTTGATATAATTAATGATTGGATATGTTGGTCAATAGGTGTACACTAGGGTTTATATCTACAAATTTGTATATTGTAGAGGTCATCAGGCAGCAGTGTTATGTGTTCATTTCAGTGAAACTAAAATAGTTTCAGGTTCCTGTGATAAAACTATTAAGGTATTTTCTAACTTTATTATGACAGTAGACTAGAATGACATCCTATTTTGAAGAATTTTATAAGGACAAAAAGTTTGGTTAATGTCAATTTCCCTGTATCATATCCAAATATTTAACAATATTACATGATTGTAGTCAATATTAAGAAAAATTGATACAAGCTGTTCACAGGAACTCTAAGACTATTTTGTATATTTTAGGTATGGAATTATTCTGGTAGTTGTTTAATGACGTTAGCTGGTCATCAGGATGCTGTGACATGTCTACAGTTTGATATGACTCGTATTGTTAGTGGTTCTCTAGATTATAATCTCAAGTTCTGGGATGTACATTCAGGAGAGTGTGTTAATACTATAGATTGGAAAGCAGCTGAAGGTCATACTGGTGTTGTTAGGTAAGAACAAGCTAAATCTTTATTGAACTGAGCTCACACCTTTGGTCCTGTCTAGGTTTTATGGGTCACAGTAAATTGGTCCGGTTGAAAATTGATCACTTGGCTGGTTGGTTGTGGTCACAAGTGTTACAAGGTATATTGGTCAACAATGAAATAGGGTCTAGTTTGACTGGTTTGTTAAACTACGATGACCAAATTAATGTCATCAAATTTTTGGTGACAAATTATCAAGTTTCCATAAGATGGTTATCAATCAATGTTTGCAACTGAGTAATGAAAAAGCAATATGAGGTGATTTTATTTGATAGTAATTATCTCAAGACATGGCTTGATTTGTGTTTTGCCTGAAGGCAGTCTCTACAAAACCATTTCATATCAACTTATAGTAATATACCTAACCTAAATTGTAACCTGATTTATATTTAAGATGTTTACAAGCTGATGGATGGAGATTAGTTAGTGCTGCTGATGATAAAACTATCAAAGTAAGATCATGTTTCCATTATAATACATACTGTCAGAGCTTATAATCTTATTTTATTTTCATTTTGAAATAGTCCTTTAGTGAAGTAGTAGCATTTTTACAAAAGTGTTTAAGTGAGTAACATATCAAATAATTCTTCAATTGTTTTATACAACAGAGAATTTCATTGTTTGACTCTGTAAGTATTCTTGAATATATTATGCATAAGAATTTCTCAGATTATTTATGGCAATTTGAGTCAGAAAACAACATATTATGTTGTTGATTCTAGTTTCATCAAAAAATTAATTAAGAAATGTCTGTAAATAAAACATTGAAATCAACTACTATTTAGTATGAAATGTAAAATTCAGTACAGTGGTGTAACCTATTTTCGTGGATGTAAGGATTCAACACCGAATTTCTTCAAAGTTAAAAAAAACAAAATTTTTTTTTATGTCTTAGATGTTTCCTCAGAAATTCCACAAAATAATTAAAATTGGTTTGTTTCGATTTTCTTTATGAATTCTTCACTTTGACCCATATTTCATGAGCAACCAACTCGGCAACGGCCGCAGAATGCGTTACCTATTTTCGTGTACAATGTTTGAACTATAGATAAGTCTAGAAAAACACGTTGTATGGATACCGGGTGTTATAATTAACTTCTCTTAGTATTTATCTTTAATATCAATTCATTATAACTAGTGACAATTCCTTCAAAGAACCACGATTTAAAAAAAAAAAATAGTGACTGACAAAATAAGATACATAGCGTGATTTATTGCTAAAAGTCACTGTAACTACATAAGAATATGGTCCACTTTGTTTTCCATAGAAATTTTCTGCTTACACAGAATCCGCTACTTGATCACGTGACTTCATTCGTTGGACTACATTCTAGCAGACGACACTTGGAATTCCGATTACGGCTAGGGATTATAAGGAAATACGGCCGATAAAAAATAGTGACGTTTGGTAATAACTGAAATCCGCCATTTTGTATTTGTCAAAGTATACATTAATACATTTTACCTTGCTTGAAACTACTGGATTCATTCTACTAGCTGATATTGTAGAGAAAACCCATGTTTATTAAAACAAACTAATGCGGAGGTCGCGCAAGGTCGCGCAAGGTCGCTCATGTAAATTATTAATCCTTTCCGGAAATCCACGAATAATAGGTTTCCACGAAATTAGCTTACTCGACTGTATATTCATTAATTTCTGTTATAGGTGTGGAATTTAGAAACATGTCAAAGATTAATCACCTTACGGAACCATACAGACGGTGTCACGTGCCTACAGTTTAATGATTTTATAATAGTATCAGGGTCATATGATAAAACAGTCAAATTGTGGGATTTTAGTTCCTGCTGAAACAGTGTTCGTTTGAATGGGCGAAAAAAATATAGGGCGTTAGTGAAAATATATGAACTCTGTTCATTATATACACATTGTTATTTGATTGGTATGAGACAATCAAATGAATATCTGATATGGTGATATTGAATGTCACATATTAGGGTCAAACCTTAATTAGAACAGTGTTTGAAAATGGACAATTTTTATTTATTTGGATCTGAGAAACAAAATTCTTGATGAATTAAAACTAATTATCGAAATGAAAACTGTATTATTTATAAGAATAATGCATCAGTGTGATTCAGAGATATCTCTATTGAACAATATAATCTTAAATGATCTGAAATGGTAAATGTAAACTATCTGACTCTTATTGTAATTTAGTAATTTTGACTGTTTATTTTGACTGATTTACATATGATAGGTGTACAACAATAAGAAGTGTGTATTAATTCAATACCCAATCAAGGATTAACATTTTGTTTTCATTCAGTTGAAGTTAAAAGAGACAGATTCGCAATTTTTAGAACTGTACGAATATTGCATAATACCTTCAAAAATACCTCAAACTAGAAATTTCACTTTTTATTTATTTCGTCCACAAACTTATCTTCTCTGAGGTGTTCCAAAGTTGAGCGTTGATGTAGTCACTGACACCAAAACTTCTTTCGCCACAGCTGTTTGTAACCGAAGTATACAAGATGATACTGTATACACAGGACAGATATTCAAAATAAAAAATATTGAACAAAGACGAATCACTTTTTCTAGGTTCAAGCATAGGTAATTATGGATACACATAGATTTGAAGGCTCAAATTTTTACTGTAAGCTGTGAACATTATTACTTTTTAGATTAGTGGAACAAATTACATTTTTGAGACCAAGGTATAATTTACTCCAGAAAATGATGCATCTGTCCCTTTAAGACCCTTGTGGGGAACAACATGCTTCGAGTTTGTCCACAAGACTAATGATAATGTTTAATTGGGTATAATTTTAATTGTTCCCTGTTGTTATGGCAATCAAAATTTTGAAGAAATTTGAAAGTTATATGTTATAAATTACAAATATATGACAGAACAGCTATAATCATGCTTGTTTTGTTGTTTACAAACTCTCAAAGAAAGTTAATTGGTTTTAAAGAACATACAATAGTAACAGTAGGTTGTGCCTACTTTTCAATTTGATTTTATGGAAGTAACCCTCCAATAGTTTCATTTAGAAATTGCTGTTTTCAATTAACAGAAACTTAATGTGTTACAGACTTAAAGTGATACAGTCTAGTTTCATGACCGATAGAGTATAATCTAACATCAAGTCCTCAGCCATTTTGGGTATGATATTTAGCATTTCTATCAGTTGTTTATGTAGATAACTTGGTAATTGTATCATTTTTATACACCCACATGAAATGGGGGGGCGTATATTGTCGTCAACCATGTTGGTCTGTCCACAATTGCTCGTAAACACTCTACAAAGCACAATTATTGACAGATTTTGGTGCGACTGTTCGTTGTCACCTAAGGATCAACCCTATTGAAAATCAGAAAAATCCAAAAACAATTGGTATGAATTATTGCCCTTTTTCTTGAAAATGCGTTCAATTTGTAGACCGAAACACTCTAGAAGGCACAATTCTTGATGGATTTTGATGAAACTTGATAATATTATTCAGCATTGCCTCAAAAAGTTCAAAAGAAGTGTATGTCTGAAGGTTGAATATTTCATACTGGTGATTGTTACATGTTCTGCCAAATATTTTTATTCAAAATCAAAGCTGCCAGTGGGCGTATATTACCTTGCCTGGCGAGCTATCTTTATTTTATTTACTTATTGCCTCTTTCCCAAGATAAATGGTGGATAAAGCTTTAATCAAAACATTGAAATGTGCCAGTTCATATTTTTATGTGTCCAATCTTCAAAATTTTTATACGCCCACTTGAAATGGGGGGCTTGTATAGCCGTCACCCAAGTCCGTCTGTCGGTCCGTCCATCTGTCGTTCCGTCCATCTGTCCACAATTGCTCGTAAACACTCTACAAGACACAATTCTTGACGGATTTTGACGAAACATGTTGTGAGTGTTCGTAATCAGCCAAGGATAACCCTATTGAAAATCAGAAGAATCGAAAAATATTTAGTATGAGTTATTGCCCTTGTTCTTGAAAATGCATTCAATTTTCAGCTCGTAAACACTCTAGAAGGCACAATTACCAAGGGATTTTGATGAAACTTGGCATGAGTGTTTGTTATCAGCAAAGGATAAACCCTATTGAAAATCAGAAAAATATTTAGTATGAGTTATTGCCCTTGTTCTTGAAAACGCATTCAATTTTTTAGCTCGTAAACACTCCAGATGGCACAATTCTGACAAATTTTGACGAAACTTGGTGTGAATGTTGGTTATCACCCAAGGATAAACCCTATCGAAAATCAGAAGAATCGAAAAATAGTTAGTAGGGGTTTTATTACTCAGTCCTGCGCTGAAGGTTGAACAATTGCCTTCTAGAGTTTTCATGAGCTAAAAATTGAACACATTTTCAAGAACACGGCAATAACTCATTGTTAATATTATTCAGTATCACCCTAAAGAGTTCAAAAGAAGTGTATGACTGAAGGTTGAATATTTCATACTGGTGATTGTTACTGTACTGCTAAATATTTAGCATCAAAATCAAAGCTGCCAGTGGGCATACATTGCCTTGCCTGGCAAGCTATCTGTTATATTTTCAATCTGTATGGCAAAGTTCAATGTTGGAATTTCTATATTCATCAAATCTGGCAGTGTTTTTAAACATATACATTGATTGCTGGCAAAGTTAGTTATGTAGTTCATATTAGTTTTAAGGAATTGTAGGATATTCATTATGTAGTATCCTGATAAGCCAATGTGAATCGAATGATGTTTGGTTGAACACGAAAAACACCTTAGGCTGGCAATTAGTGACCCATAAAAAAACATAGACACCAAATGATCTAGGTTTGGCTTTTTTCAAATGGGCATTACCGTATAGAAACTGGGCAATTATGAACATTAGCATGAGTTATTAGATATATATATTGAAATCTGTGTGCATGGCAACTATTCTTAAAACAACATAGTGACTGTTTTTGAACAGGGTATTGACTGTTTGAACAGGATTTTGACTGTGTTTGTACATTATTCTGTACTTCTTGAATAATATTTTCTATTTACTGTTTTTTGAACAGTATATTATCATTTTCTAGTTATATGAACCTTGTATATGAAAAGAAAGGTTTGGTGAGGTCAGTTGGATTTCAAAATAAATACAAGAATTCCATTACAATGATAGTCAATGATTTCCTCTTTTATGCTGAGACTTTACTCGAATCATTCATGTTTGTTTTCTCTATTCTATTCTCATGTTTGATGACTTTCATTTATTCACTCATAAATCCACAACATTCATTCATTTGTATCATTATTCATTTGTTATTCATCATTCTTGGAAAAATGTTTGTTTTTCAAATTTGTATTACCATCTTGTTGGATGATGCATTAAGATGTGCTGACACTATCAACACTTCTCCAACTTTCCTGGTTCCAACACAATGATGTAGAAAGGCTGTTAAAATGTTTCTCAAGTGTGAAAAGTTGATAGTGTCAACGCACCTTTATTCAAGTCATCAAATTCTTCAGAAAGTGTATGTTAGTAACATGAATGTGAGTTTTGACAGAAACTGTAGATGTAATTAGGTTTGACATCAACTAAGATAAAATTTTCTATGAGGATGGTGTTCTTAAGTAAAATAAGTTATTATTTAATTTTTTTTCTACTTTTCATGATATCATGATTTGTTTTTGAAAATTATTCATTCATTTATTCATTATGATGTTTGTTTTAAGATTATTTTAAGAGAGAGAGATGAGTTTTTTATTATTATTAATATATATATATACCAAAGTGTTTTACTTTTGCAGTTTTCAGCATAATATACTATACTTCTATAAAATAATTGTTTTTTTTTGTTACATTTCGAACATTGAATATTCTCTGGAATGGACCATGGAATTATTCCAGAAGTGAACACTAATGTATTTTTCTGTCATTGTGGTCTGTAGATATCAAAATTGGAAATTATTATCTCCCTTTTTAACCAGTATTTCAGTAACAATTTGAATACGTAACAATCTTGAAAAATAAAGCTGGATATGACTGTGTATATTTAAATGTCCCGAAACGCAACCGGTTCTCTTTTGTCCCAATAATAAAGTTTGGTGCACCCAAAGAACGTATTGTCGACATCTTCATGCCTCAAGGCACATCCGTCGTTTAAAGCCGTTGAATTGATGAATAATGTCTAAATTTAGGCTTGGCTATCATATCCTTATAAACATACCAAAACTTTTGTTGATGCAAATTTTACAGGTTAGGGATTTGAAATATCACTTTTAAGCTTCTAATACTAATTTTCTGTATATGTTTCATTCAAAAGTTTTCTATCCCCTACATGTGAAACACTTATAGTTATTGGCATCATATTGGTTTCCGTCGGATGTCACAATCTCAAATATATTTCATGCCAGATTTCTTTCAATAATTAAGATTGGATTAGAAATAATTGTTTATTTTTTGTAGATTGAAGAGGGTCAATCAATGCACGAATATGGCCCTTAATGGATGAATTCAAACTAATTGTCCCATTTGATAATCATAGCCCATTAAATCACACAACCCTTTCAGAGAGGATCCGCCCGTACAGTGTCATTTATTATTCAGTAGTTGAAATATCGTCACACTTCAGTGCTCTATTATACCGTTGTGCAAATACCTGTCGTCACAAGGTTAATATGAAATGCCCTCTCCAACCGACTTACCTTTCGGACTGCTTTAAAACAGTCTTTTAGCTTATGATTTCATGCTTGCAAACTCAATATTGACTAAGAGATAAGTATAATATATCACAATATATTTGAAGCATATCGATATTGACGACAGGCGCTTATTCTACAAGGGCGTGACGGTATGCCACACATTTCTGCTCGTCACGC